ACGATCGATGACGGAAGAATAACATTTCGTTCGATCGCAAAGGAATCGAGTGACGTTCGTTAGATTCATTCCTCGAAGTCTGGAATCTAAGATTGTAAGGCAAGGCGTTCGTCGAGATCAAACGTTGGTCGACCGAGCAGCGGGCAAACATTGATGGAATCTGGATCGATCGACGATCAATCGAGAGATCAGACGCTGATCAAACGGGCAGCTCGTTCCGAAGGAGATTCACGACCCGGAAGAGATCCCTGGATACCTCAGCTCAGACTAGCGAACAAACAGGTGTCCGTCCCGCGAGCGGAATCCGGACAACCGGTGCTCCCGAAGATCAGGTACACAACACGTTTCTCTCGACTGAGAGCGCATCGGCGAGGGTGCACACCCCTCGGGGCCAGTCCTCGCGCTGTTCATTCGACTCCCTGCGCGCGATAAGTCGGCGAGAAGACGAGTAAACACGAAGGAGAAGGGTGTCGTGGAGAGTAGCGAGAGAAAGAGAGAAATAGAGAGAGTGAGAGGAAGAGAGGAAGAGAAAGCGAGAGAAGAAGAGAGCAGCCGACTGGTTCGCCGCCACAGAGCAGAGCCGTAAAAAATCTTTAACACGTTTGCTACCATCAATTTCGTGGTGTTTTGGTACACGTGCTACCAACTCGCACTATGATTTATTTTTGAACCGTGGTTCACTGGACTGTTTTATTGTCGATGATTTATTAGGGAAGAAGAGATTTTGATGCTTATTCTGCGTCTAGGTTTATTTCAACGGTAGATTGGTGATAGGAAAGTTATGTTTAATTTGTGTTTGAAAGATAGATAGTACGTTGGTTTCTTTGAATTTGGTTGAGAGCTTTTGTAGTGAGTCTGATTGGACATTGCCGGGGGTTGGAGAGCTTCGAGAGGGTTGAAGAAATATGTTTTTCGACTGTTTGAAGTTGATTACTATTTTTTGATTATTTAAAGGTGATTAGAATCTTTTGAGTATTGAAAGTTGGTTATTATCTTTAGATTATACAAAGTTGATTACTATCTTTAGATTATCCAAAGTTGGTTACTATCTTTCAATTATCCAAAGTTGATTACTATCTTTATTACTATCTTTTATTACTATCTTCTGACTATGTAAAGTTAGTTATTATCTTTTGACTATCCAAAGTTGAATACTATCTTTCAACTATCCAAGGTTGATTAACCATCTTTCAATTATCCAAAGTTGACTACTATTTTTCAACTATCCAAAGTTGCTTACCATCTTTCAACTATCCAAAATTAATTACTATCTTCCGACAGCCCAAAGTTAATTATCATCTTTCAACTATCAAAAGTAATTAACCATCTTTCAACCATCCAAACTTGTCTACCATCTTCCAACAATCCAAACTTGCTTACCATTTTTCAACTATCCAAACCCGATTACCATCCCTCCACTATCGTCCCGTGCATTGTCCAATAAAACTCTGCGCGAAGCTAACATTGTTTCCTCTCTGTTCACAGGTGCGTGACACCGGTAGCAAACGAGTTAAGCGAATTTCCGCGGCACGGTGTCTCCGGTGGCTCGTCCCGCCTGTTCACGGTCACGGACTCGTCCTCTCTCTCTCGGATCGGGGTGCGGTTTCCCACGGTGTCCTTTCATTCGCCTACTTCGATCTTGCCGTTCCCGAGAACCCTAACTTTGCTAGTGGAACAAACGGGGGCGGACCTCGCTCTTGCGCGACTTTTCCATCGTACAGCCACGCGTGTACTCTTTATTGTGCGTTGGCGTCGGGTCGGTGAGAGGCAGCGTTCGGTTTCGGGGATGCACGGGTGGAAAGAAGTTTAATAACGCGGAAAGTATCCCACGCGATACGGACGAGAAACTGGGGATTCAGCAACGACGGGGGATCAAGGAGATTTGATTAACGAGAATGTCGAGCTCCCTTTCGATCGCTTATCATTGTTATGCTGTTGTCTGATCTCAGAGTTTTCTATAAGAATCTTTTTGTTCGTTTAATGTAGTCTGATCTAAGAGTTTTCTGTAAGAATCTTCTTGATCTTTCAACTGCAATGTAGTCTGATCTAAAAATCTTCTATGAGAATCTTCTTGATCTTTCAACTGCAATGTAGTCTGATCTAAAAATCTTCTATGAGAATCTTCTTGATCTTTCAACTGCAATGTAGTCTGATCTAAAAATCTTCTATGAGAATCTTTTTGTTCTTGCAACTGTAATGTAGTCTGATCTAAGAATTTTCTATAGGAATCTTCTTGATCTTTCAACTGCAATGTAGTCTGATCTAAAAATCTTCTATAAGAATCTTCTTGTTCTTTGAACTGCAATGTAGTTTAATCTGAGAGTTTTCTATAAAAATCTTCTTGTTCTTTAAACTGTAACGTTGTAGTTTAATCTAAGAATTTTCTATAAAAATCTTTGTTCTTTCAACGGTAATGTAATCTGATGTAAGAATTTTCAATAACAATCTTTTTGTTCTTTCAACTGTAATGTAGTCTAATCTAAGGATTCTCTATAAGAATCTTCTTGTTCTTTCAACTGCAATGTAGTTTAATCTGAGAGTTTCCTATAAGAATCTTCTTGTTCTTTCAACTATAACGTAGTCTGATCTAAAAATCTTCTATAAGAATCTTCTTGTTCTTTCAACTGTAACGTAGTCTAATCTAAAAATCTTCTCTAAGAATCTTCTTGTTCTTTCAACTGTAACATAGTATAATCTAAGAGTTTCCTATAAGAATCTTGTTCTTTCAGTGTTCGATGAAGGGTTGATCGATCTGTATGGAAAAACCGATTCAACGCTGCATGGTATCGTAAAAACCGATCGACATTGTTCGTGTAATTGATCGTACCATAGACGACGGGGCAACAAAGTAAAGCGCTTTGCCGGTGCATCTTCGAAATCCACCGCTGCGCCACCAGCAACGTACGAGATGGTACAGTAACGAACAACACTGACGTTTGCACGTGAGAAAGAAAAAGGTAAAAAATGTGACAGAGTGCGGGATTAGTGTCGCCGAGACAGGCTGGTAGAAAGCGACAGGGACAAACAGAGCACAAGAACAAACTGTACAAAGAACGTGGAACAACGGCTATGTACAACGTCCGAGAGTTCGGAGCAACCTCTCCCTTATCCGTATTTACATCCACCGAGTCGATCTCTGCACGCTTTCGCTCGAGTCTTCTCCAATTCTAATCGTCTATAATCATCGTCGAGTTAACCCTCTGTAGGCCCATGTAACTTTAAAGTCGCGTATCAGTATATTGGCATCTTGATGATTTATTTTATTTTGCAGTCGAAGTGGTGAATAAAATTAAGTAATCGGAAAGTTACAAAATTGATTCGTTTGATGAAATTATTGAAACTATCGAATACATTGTTAATTCGTATTCATATGTGGATATCTATTAATTTTGTACCGCATATATTTTATTATAATAATGAACAAAAATTCGGCCCATAGAGGGTTAACACATTGCCAGTCGCTGACTTATTTTCTTAACCCTTTGCACTCGGATGTTTCTTACTATAAATATTTACCATTTCTTTACGAGGCGACGACGATGTTCTTTGAGACTAATTCGAAGAGAGATCACCGGTACATTGAGGAACAAAGCTGTTTTATTCCAATGTTTCACATATCGAGAGGCATTATACAAAATTTAACATTAAATATCACGTTCTATAGTTTTACTGTGTCAACAAAGCTATCTCAATATTTCACATTGCAATAGAAAATTTCATTTAAAATACTAAATATTCACTTCATAGTTTTCCAGTGTCAAATCGAATGATAACTTAGAGTCGCCTCTCGAGTGCAAAGAGTTAAAAGCTTCTTCGAACACAATCTAATCTCATATTTAATTTCAGAATACCCCATTCGCCACATTATACTTGGAAACCTGCGTGTCGGAGAAATTCGACTCGAAAGCGTGCGCGAGGACCAAAGGTTCGTCCGGGTGGCACGAAAAGCGGAAGACGCGTGCCCGCGACAACAGCAATGCACACACGCACACCAACGGAAAGTGAGTCTGTGCACGCGCCGAGGGGGACCGGGTTCCGAGCGGAAAATTCAAGCGAGATTCGGTAAAAAAACGGAACAGAGGAAAAATATCAAAGAAAGCGAAACGTCTCGGAAAATCGGATGACAAACGAGATCCGAAGAAAAGAGAGAACTGGAGTGATCATCGGCAACCGGGACAAACGGACCGAAACGACTCTCTCTTCTTTTCCCTCGCTCGCCAAGGAAAGTAAAGATAAATAAACAAACGAGACGGGCACATCCGTTCGACCGGAAGCGCGAGACGTGTCGCTGAGCTTCCGTCGCTTTTGTGCCCGTCAGCCGCGGTGGAAACAATAAGAACCGTCTCGCACCCCGGAAAAATCGGTTTCGCGGTCGACAATGGACTCGACGCGGTCGCGCGGCGGGAGGGGGGCACGAAGAGAAGCGTCTCGTGCGGGCGTGGAACATCGTGCGGTCCGTCGACGACGTGGCTCGTCGAGGACCGTAGTCTCGAGAGCAGCGTGATCCAAAGCGTTCGCCAAGAAGTATATATACAGAATATATATATTTACACAGAAGGAACGGTTAATGAAGAACAAGTAACAACAAGTATTTAGAGGTAGAAGTAGTAGTAGTAGTAGTTATAGTAGTAGTAGTAGAAGAAGAAGATTAGAACGTTAGAGAATATATAATATATATACAGATATAGATTAGAGGAACAAGACGAAGAACAAAGCAACAACACCATGTACAAGACGGTGGGCCAAAACAAAATGTATACGGTCGGTATACGTGCGACAGTGTCCGTGTGAAAAAAACACCATTGAAGTATCTCAACTCTCCTTTCGTGTGTGTATGTGTGTGTGTGACAGGATGCGTATTCTCGTTTCTCTTGATATATTATTTAATATATTATATATTATATTATATTATATATTTTATATTATATATAGGTATATATGTATATATGTATATGATTAACGGTTACTTTGATTCTCTTTGGTTTTTAATTAATGGATACCTTGGCACTTCATGCCCTGGTGGATGACACCATAGAGAAGACTACCGCAGTGGTCACAGAAGGTGGGGCTGTTGTAGGTATGTTGCTTGAAATGGTGCTTCGTCCGCGTGTCCTGCGTTATTACACCATTA